ATATTACACTATTTACGTAAGTTTATGGCGGGCCCCATAATATTATGTAAATTTACGTCAGAAAAAATTTCCTGATGGTAGCAAACATTCTTACTATTAACAATATCAAAATCCAACTTAGTTTGCAATCTACCACATTTATTGCACTTTGACAATTCATCATTTCAATATTTTTCTTCACATTTTTCACAAACCACATCATCTGAAATTCACTCCCCAGTTACTTTACTATGTGTTCTTATTTGATGAACAGATTTGTTATTTCTATTCTCAAGTTTAGAGCAGAAATCACAAGTTTTTTTACTTTCTCTTGTTGTAATTTACTTGTTATTTAGAATTAACTTCTACTTGAGCAATAATTTCTTGGTTTTGAAGCTTTTTCCTTTTTAATTAGCCTTTGTAATCTTTGGAACTTGACTTTTGCTTCTGTTTTTAATTGCTTAAATGTGCTCTGTTTAGGTAAGGCAGGTAAGGGTTTATTACCTAAGTAGAGTGAATTCTTTAGATTTTCATTTTGTGTTTCACTATCAGTTAATTGCTTAGTTTTTCTATTTTTTTGCTTTTTTGACTTGATTCTTCCTCCAACTTTTCAACTTGGGCTTCTAGATGAGAAATCGCCAACTGCTATGACTTCCTTAACTTGTCCCTGTTCTATTTTTACTCTTTCTTCTAGTTTTTCTACCTCTGCTTCCAAATTTTCTTGTTCTGCTTCTAATGCCTCAATTTTCTCTTTGTATTCTTGATTTTGTTTAGTCACTTTATCAAAATTTTCCTTAACTTTAAAAGTTAATTCATTCCAACCACTGATTAACTCATCCAAAGATTTCTATGGTCATAATAATCATAGCAACTTCATTTGATTGAATCTTATCCTTTATATCCTCTTTCTAATATTCCTTTTAGGGTTAAATTATCTTCTATTTTGCCTTCTCTTAATCACTTTCTAAATAACTCTTTGCTTTCCTCAGAGTTTAATTTGATAAGGTTAATAAAAATATCTCTTTTAGCCTTATCTCTTACTTGGTAAAGTTTTATTGTTTGCTTATAATAAGGAAAATATTGATAAGTATTAAGAATTACATGTCTACAAACTTGTTTAGTAAGAAACATCTTACAAAAACTAGACCACTTTTCCTGGTCACAATAAACTCTCATAATTTCACCAACTACATATACATCAGGATTGTCAGTGTAATGAGATTCTTTTAAAGGAGTGGCTATTCACTGTCTGATTTCTTCATTATTCAGGATGACAAATTTAGTTGATTTTTGCTGTGTGATGATAGTTCATTTATAATTACCCAGTGTCCTATGCCCAGTGTAAAAAATTGGAGGGGCAGAAGGGGCGGGTCTCGTGTTTATACATGATATGGTAATTAGCTAATTACTGTAAATATGTAATTTGTAATTAACGTAATTAATTACCACTTTCACTCTTTAAAAAACATAATTACATAATTAATTATGGGTGATGAAACTAATTATGGGTGATGAAATTAATTATGGGTGACAAAATTAATTATGGGTGACAAAATTAATTACAGACAACAAATTAATTACTATAGTTGGCTTGGTCTAAAGACCTCCTAAATTTTGGGCAAATTTTAAAAGTATAGAAGTCACTTTCTGTCCCACCTTTTAAAAAAATAGCTCTATCAGTTGATAGAATATGACTTTAGTTTTAATGTAATAGAGAGATTTTCTCAAAATAATTATTTGTTGTAGAGTTCTATTCTTTTTTAAAACATGTACTTTATTATGCTTGCAAGGAATTTGTCCGCTATGATCATTTCTAAATTTAGGAAAAATATTACCAAATTTAGACTAGCTCTTGACCATCGTATCTAAATTTGGCAGTAAGAAAACTAAAATCACGTGAAGTCCTATTTTTTGAAAAATTTTATTGCATTTTCGAACGAATTACAAAATTGCTATTTTGAAATTTGGCTGCATGGCGCAGCAATAGGAGGTCTTTAAGACCGAGCCAACCATAGACAGGACATAACACGAATTCAGATGATAATAATTATACACGTTATTAATAACATAGTGGGCTTTCCCTGTGATTGGCTTATTTTATTTTGTGTAAAATGAGATCATTACTATATAGGATAAATAATTAATGTTACATGTCGATCAAATAACAAACTTTTTTTTTCCTTAAAAAAAAAAAGTCTCAACAAAAGCAACAAAGAAAAAGAATAAAAGAAAATAATTATAATAATGAAATAATTTGAGGGTAAGTGTTTTAAGGATGGTGGTGGTTGTTGCAACTCATTGTCATTCTAGTTACTAGTCACAATTTCTACAAAAATTCTTCCTTTAAAAAATGACAAAAAAATTCATAGAAATACTGAAAAAAAGGAAATTATCTTATATACTTAATTAATTTATCTTTAACGTGTTAATGAATAGTTGATTTGACTGATTTGATTTGCAATAATAGATGAAAAACCTGATTTATCAGATATTACAAATATTAGGAGTTCAAATAAAGTTGATATATTGGTTATCATAAACAATTATTGTAACAAAACAACAACATCACCATTTGAGTAAGTTTGGTAAAAACAAGGATTGTGAGAATTGCTTATTAATAGTATAGCTATTGATGTTGATTAGTTTAATCCAATAAATCTTCTTTTTTATATGTTATTCAGTCCAGCTAGAAGCCATATTTTGGATATGATGCCAGAATCAAAGATTCAAAAAGAATTTAATGCTGATGATTGGTCCATTGTAACTGAAAATCAAAAGATAACCATGACAGACTACTTTTCCATTACTAACATCATCATAATTTATGGCACTAGTCTTTACATGAAAGAGAGTGGTTTGATGATTATATATCTCCATTAACTACTGGAGTACTGAAGCTGGATGGAACTTGTTGTGTTCCTTGGTACGTTTTTTGATTAGAGGTAGTCTTTTTTTGTTTTCAAACTTTCTGACTAGATTTATCAATTTGATTTTATTCAGGGGTGAAATAAGTGTATTAGCATCACAAAATCACTGTAATTCTGAAAATGATGCTTTAACAATGACAGTGGAACATGGTCATATGAGGAACATGAGATAGTGTTGTGAGATTGTAAACCGTGGACCATTAATATTGACCAATTAGAACGAACTTACCACGGAAGTCATGTGATGCGCTAAATATTACATCACGATTAATGATCATCTTTCTATATTTATTGTAATGGTTGCGCCACATTATACGTGTAGATCATTACATCATTTCTGTTTTTATATTAATCAAATTATTTGTATTGCTCAGATGACCCAAATATTTAGGGCCTTCTCATTCACACTCATTTATGAATGATCATGAGTGATTATTACCAATTTTGGCTATTTCAGCCACAGTGTGAACACTCGCCCTCCAAATTTGGATTTATGATCATTCATAA